TTTTTTTTTTCGGTTGTGGAAAAATCTGAGACTTTTCTATTTTGCTTGGCTTTTTTTGGGCTTTTGTGTTCCCCCTTTTGTTTTAGTGGCTAAGACTATCTCTGTGTTGGGGTTGAATGGCCATATGGAAAAAGCAGTATTTCTCTATTGACTATTATATTTCAGTCCTTTTATCTTTAATTTTCACAAGGTATATTCAAGTGAAGCCAATCTGTTCATTCATCTTTGGAATTGTTCTTATTCAGCTCATAGTTTCTTTTATTTTGTCTTGATTATGGAATCTATCATTTTGTTTTTATCTGTTTCGTTGGTAATCCGTGGTGGGCCAAGCGCATAATGTTGGTCAACTTGGAATGGACTTGCTTCAAGAGAATCAGGAACATTAAGAGATTTCATATAGGAGAGACAATTTTTCATTGTGAATTCATTTTACTCAATTTTGTAGAAGAGCTATTGTTTGCTCTCTTCAAGTGAATTTATGAGCTAAGTTTAGTATTATCATCTCGACATTGTTGGTTTCAATAATGCTACTTTGCACATTCACAATGTAAATGGTTGTATTATACTCTTATCACATTGTTGTTGTGAATCACACTATATCTCAATCCTTTATTGCACAAAGTGATTTGATGATATTTGGCTAACAGGGTTCAATTCTAGGTGTTGATGTTGAGTTACCCACAACAATATATAGCACTCAACTTGTTGCCATGGAGAATGAAAAAGGAATGGAAAAGATCACAAAAACTGAAGATGGAGGATTCTTGAAATCTCATATATACACTCTCAAGATTCCACAGGCAAGCTCACATTTCGTATCTTTCGTATTTTCATTGATTTTGGTGTTTTTGTAGAGTCACATATCTTATCTCTGGTGAATATCCTAATTATGTTTTCAGATTGATGGAGGAACCAATGTATCGGTTAAACTGAGGTGGTCTCAAATGTTACTGTATCATGATGGAGAATTGACCTTGAAAATTCCATTTAGCTTCCCCGAGTATGTAACTCCAGCTGCAAAGAAAATCGCTAAACGAGAAAAGATACAGTTGGATGTTAATGCTGGTCCTGGGACAGAAGTTCAGTTCAGAACAACTTCTCACCCTTTAAAGGTACTCTTAATTCAGGTTCTAATGGTGGTCATCATTGATTAAGTTAGAATGCTGACTTTACATTTTTTTTTTTCTTTGGACAATTAAGGAACGACAGCGACAAGCAGGAAAGCTGGGCTTCTTATATGAATCTGAAGTTCTTTCATGGTCAAACGTTGATTTTTTGGTTACATATAATGTAAGATTTTGTTGGGTTACTTTCTATTATCTTCTGAAACTCTGTAACAGCGAGAAGGAAAAGGAGAAGAAAAGGGAAAATCACGTGACAAATCCAAATAATTTAAATTATTGCAGATGCATGTTGTATGCTGGAAAGGTGTTCTAGACTTGTTCTGAAGAAGTAAACCTATTTACTGTGCCTATTGTTGTTTTCAGGTATCTTCAAGTCATATTATTGGTGGTGTACTATTGAATCCTTCAATGGTACATGATGTAGATCGTAGAAATATATTCTGTTGCTACCTTTTCCCGGGAAAGCAGCAGAGTATAAAGGTAAATTGAGAATCCAGTCGTGCCATGATTGTTACTTGATTCTTAAATTTGGTTGCATTTGTTGCATAATATTTTACGACAATAAAATTTGAATGTTCAAAATACGCATCAAAGGCATTATGTAAACATGCTATGTTCCTTTTACTAGAAGTTTTCTTTTTTTCATCTGCTTTTGTGTCAGTTTTGGCTCAATTCTCTTTATATATGTGTGTAAAGGTTTTCCGGAGAGAAGTGGTGTTTGTTGTTGATATAAGTGGAAGCATGAAAGGCAAACCACTTGAAGATACCAAAAATGCCTTATTTTCAGCAGTTGCCAAGCTTGATTCCAAAGACTTCTTTAACGTAATTGCATTCAATGGAGAAACATACTTATTTTCATCATCCATGGAAGAAGCAACTGCCAAAGCTATTGAAAATGTCACTCAGTGGATCAATATGAATTTTGTAGCTGGTGGAGGCACAAATATTCTGCTTCCTCTAAATCAGGTATTTTATTTTATTTTTTGTTTTTCTGACTCATTATATGAATCCTCCTCGTGTCAATTATTTGTCATCCCCTAGAAAGGCAGTTGGAGCTTACGTTTTGTTTTGTTTTTTCATTTTTTTTTTTTTGTTTTTTGTTTTATTGTTTTTTCTGTTTTTTTTTTTACCTTCCCTTCACACAAACTGCCCCTATTCACCTACCAAATACTACTTTTAAGCTTCCCAATGCATCTCTTAACCAATACACTTATTTCCGAATCTTTCCCAATCACAATTCCTCAAAACTATCCCAATGAATCCTCAATTACGAACTGAGAATGCTTCAACTTTTTTGGTCTGTCAACTTCAGATTATTTGTGTCCCTGTCCCTGTCCCTGCCCCTGCCCCTAAGCAGTCCCTGTGTCCCTAAGCAGTGATTTTGGATCCTAATATATCCAATGACATTGGAAGTTTTCTTAGTAATCATGGATGATATTCTCCATGGTCGATATATCAGTGTATTGTGGATAAAAAAACATTGATGTCAGTGACTCAGTGGTAGTGGGTAGCATGTCTACTTGTTACAACCTATTATACTGCTACTCTGTCAAATAACTTCACGAGGGAAAGACAATTTGCAGTCATGTAACTATTTGTAATTCATTTGTGGTACCTGCAGAAGTAGTCAGGAATTAATACTTCTTGTATTTCTTATCTGCATATATGAATATGACTAGGTGTTCAATGTATGCAAGAGTAATATGGGTTGGCTGAAACAATCAACACAAGGACGTTCTTTCACTTGGAAATGTATGAATATGACTAGGTGTTGATCTCACTTCTCATAGGGTTCAATTTATGAAAGAGTAACATGGATTGGGTGAAACACAAGATTTTTATGCATTTCTTCTCATTTCCTCAGCTCAGCTGAATTATTTTATAAGAGGGCATTTTATTTGCATCCTGTTACAATCTTAGTGTCAGAAGAGTTTTTTGAGTTGATGTTTTCCATGACTATATATAGAGTTATTCCTCAGCCTTAACACCCCATTCAAACTCCAGGTGGAGGTGGAGATCCAAGCATTGAGTTTGAGTAAGTAAAGCTGATGTTGTTCTCTAGTTTGTGCTTTGATGAAAAGAATATGTCACTTGCACTTCTAGACCACATATTGAAGTACAATTATTTTCTGATGACAACGAGACCATACAAAAGAATCATCGACACCAATGTGTTTTGTAAGCTCATGCTTCACACAATTCGTATGGCTCCAGTATTATAACAAAGAAGAAGAGTTGTAGGAGCATTACATGGAATACCAAAATCAGCTAACAACCATCGAAGTCATATAATTTATGATGTGGTTGTTGTAAGTGTTCGAAGTTATGACACTGTGCTTGAGCGCGATACAACTGCCTGGTTCTTGGACTTCCATGTAAGAAGAGAACCAAGAAAAATGCAATAAATAACCATTGAGAGTGAGAGAAAACTATGTGTTCAATTACTCGCCCAAATAGATTTCGAGTAAGCATGGACTACCACGCGCATAGAACAAAACACTGAGATGTGACCCTTAAATACCATAACACACGAAGTAAATGTCCAAAATGAACTTAAGTACGAGCACACACAAACTGACTCAATATATGAACATCACGGTCGATGTCAGGTATGGTGACAATAATATAAACCAGACCGCCCACAAGCAGATATCGAGAGGATTTTCAATAGGTGTACTCCGCCCACAAGCAAATATCGAGAGGATTCTCAATAGGTGTACCATCAGGACAGAAGTAGGACAAAGCTGCAAGTGAAGATCTATAGGTGTAGTCGTTGTCCGATTATCAATAATACCAAAACGAATAAGATTTTTTATGTATTTGGCCTAATAGCCCGAGTCAGAGTGCATCACCTCAGTACCCAAGTATAGTTAAGCGAACCCAATTGGACATTTGAAATTGCTCAACAACTTGTTTCTTGACATGAGAAATATGTTTAGCATCACATCTCACGTAATCAAAATATCGTCTAACATATAAAATAAGTAAAGTACATGGAGAGAGAATAAACAAGATAAGATCACTAGGGAAAAAAACTAGCAGTCTGTATGGCAGAGACAAAGTGCTCAAACCAAGGCTCCAGCACATGGAGCCTGTTTGAAATCATATAAGGCGCGATGAATACGAGGGAGGGCATCAACAATCGGGGGTGGTTGCATATAAACTTCAACATGCAAATCACCATGAAAAAAAGAAGAAAAACATTCTTCACATCCATATGTGATATGGTCCACGAATGAGTAGTAGCCACCGCAATCCGGACAATAGTTATGTGAGTGAGAAACAGGAGAAAAAGTCTCATCATAATCTCGTCCAAAGTCTGCTGAAAGCCTCTAGCAATAAGACGAATTTTATATCTCACAATCGAACCATCCGACGTCGTCTTAACCTCAAAGACCCACTTAGAAGTATAAATACGACATGCGACAACAACGAAACAGAATTTGGTACGTCAAGTGTGGCAAGCTCCTCAGACATGTATGACAAGTGGATGACTCATTAGCAATAGCACTCACACGTTTAAAACCAACAGAGGCTCAATAGTATCATAGTAGCACGATCACATAAATTATTTCTCTGACTAACCTGAGACTCCCACATCAGAATCAACAAAATCATCAAAGGCGAGAGCATAGGACTGGCAGAGACAGTGGAAGGAGGCAGAAGTGTAGTGTGCCCTATTGGGTGACGAGTATAAACCGGGTGTTGGTAGGTGGTTATGTGAAGTAGGCTCGTGATAAATGGGTGGTGGAGGCTCATCATGAGAGATTGGGATATCATAAGGAGAGTCTAGAAGATGTGAGGTGTGCGGAAGGATTACAAAAGAATGGACGATCCTCGATAAAGGTTACGTCACGAGATATACACATGCGATCGACGGATGAATCATAGCAACAATAACTCTTATGCCAAGGACTATACCCCGCAAAGAGGCACTCAAGCGACTGACTAGTCAATTTAGTGCGCTCACGAGCAGCAAGTAACACATAGCATGTACATTCCAAAACCTGAAAATGATCAATAGTTAGGGGGGTGACTAAAAGTACCTCACCAAGACACCTACCATACAATTTGCATGACTACTGTCGGGTGATAAGATAAACAACTATGCACACAACTTCTCGCCTAAAATGAGAAGGAACAAAAGAAGCAATGAGAACAGTTGAAGTACAATAAGATGGCAGTGTTTTCTTTTCGCAACACCATTCAGAGCATGTTTACTAAAAGGTGGATCTTCAAACTCTTTTCAACATTGAGGAGGATAGGTCATAGTGGCGAAAATTGTTTTTCTCAGCATCCAAATAATTGCCCAAGTACCGTGCACATCGTGCGACTTGTGGTGCGGTTCCTGCTACAAAAGAAAGGGTTTGTATCTGTTGCTTTTGTTGTTGTTGTTGTTGCTCCTGCTGCAACAGCCACTGTCGCTTTTACTGTCAATGCTCCTCACTCTTGGGTTCTCGATTTTGGGGCATCATTCCATGTGATGTTTGTACAGTCCCATCCCAGTTGGTTGCCTGCAAGTCGGTCATCAACTGATGGTACTTATATCTAGACGGCTGATGTGCCATCTAGTCATATCACTCATTACTCATGACGTTGCTTTGATACCATGTTACAAACCTAGGTTATTGTGAGTTGATGTCTACTTTGATATGAATGATCATATATATAGTGTTATTGTTGGGTCTTATAAGCTTGGGCCTTTATATACTTTACACATCCATCCTTTTGTATGAATGTTCGAGAGATTTTACATGCATTAGCCTGCTTACTGTTCAAGAAGTTGTTATAAATGGCCCCCTTTAGGTTTCCTCAAATTCAGCTTAACAAAAGATTTTCAGTAACTCGTTGTTTCTGCATTGTGAACTAGTTGATTTTCCTGTCATTTGTACCTGCCCGCTTTCCAGAAAACAGAAAAGACAACAACAGTTGAAAACAATTGAAGCCCATTAGTGTTTCTGAAAATATGGTCTTGAAACTGCTAATAATCAACTTTATTATTATTGTTATTATTATTATTATTATTATTATTATTACTATTATTATTATTATTATTATTATTATTATTATTTGTGTGTTTGTGTTCGCGTGTGTGTGTGTGTGTAGTGAACTAAGAACTTTGGTCCTTTCAGCCTTTTCTACCTTTTTTCTTTTGGTTGAAATGGACCTTAGATGTTATATTGTGGTAGATCTAATGTAATTTCTTTTACTTTTCAGGCCATTAAGATGTTATCTGATAGTAGCAACTCAATTCCTATTGTTCTCCTTATTACTGATGGAGCTGTGGAAGACGAGAGACACATTTGTGGTACCGTGAAAAGCCTGTTAACAAGCCAAAAGAATGTTAGTCCAAGAATATACACACTGGGCATAGGTATGTATACTATATATGTTTGTTATTCAAATTTGTCGAAGCTGGCTAACACTATTCAAGCGGTAGATAATCAAATCTAGGGTAATCTACTTAAAATTTGTTATTATTCAAGTAATTATGCTAGATAAGACCCAAAGTTTTCATGATCACACGAAGGACAAATGTTGTTCAGAACAGTTCTGTATGTGATTTTTGAAGTTGAGTGCTGGGGGATACCGGTTCAATTTTTCTGGCTACTCCCTCAGTTACTTATATGCAAAAGTCATAAGGTGCCCAGTACCCACACAATCATCTTAAGTAAGTTCATCCTTTTCAGACCTTGAGCTGTTAAAACAGTATCTCTATGATCTTCTATTGTGGTGAAGAATGTGACCGATCAGTTAGTTTCTGCTATGTAAGCATTGGGTTTAATTTAAAATGAAGGCACTTAATACATCAAATGACATTTTATGTTATCCTGGAAAGGAAGAAAGTCAAAACCACCCAGAATAGTTTACCACTCTGGTTATCAAGGATGGTGATCTACGAGTCTCGGTTGCTGTGGATCCTTGATATTGAGAATCTCAATATGGACAGCATAAGCTTGAACTTTACCTGATCTGCCAGGATTTAGGTAGTCTTAGATCCAACCCAAATGCAGCATTTGGAAAATATGAAATTGGATCCTCTTGTGGCCTCATGCCTTCTTCATAGCTGCAACTGTTACATTTCTTTTCATTTGTTAACAGGTTCTTTGAAATTTTAGGTACTTTCTGTAACCATTATTTTCTGCGGATGCTTGCAATGATTGGCCGGGGGCAACATGATGTTGCTAGTGATGTGGGTAAGTCATCCTTCTTTTGTTGAATGGATTAAATGGGATCTTCCTGTAATACTTTGGTGGGTGCAAATATTATGGGATGCTAATTCTTGTTCTTTCCAAGGAGGCGTTTTAATAATAATTTATGACGCAAGCACACTAGTCTTGATTAAAATCTGTGATTTTGAGTTTTGTCTATGGAGTAACCCCTATCGGTAGATAGACATACGCTGGTTTGGTTTCTTCAACTTATTTGAGGGTTTATTCTAGGTATAATGCCATCCTTTCTACATTTAAAGTGTATAAGAAATTTGAACTGCTAAGTCATCTAACTGAGTTTCTGGATAGTTCTCTCAGTCTATTCAAGTCCCTTATCTAATTTGTTTCTATCTTTGCAGATTCCATTGAGGTTCGCATAGGAGGACTATTTGCCAGAGCATCATCTATATTTCTTGCAAATATTGCATTTGAAAATCTCAGTAACCTTGATGATCTTGAGGTACTTTTAGTTGTCTTCATCAACTTATTTCAATTACTAAACATGAATGGCACCCCCATCTCCATTGCTCGTGCAATGCTGTGAGTCCTTTTTAATTGTTTCCAAGAAAGTGCCATGATAGGATACCATCTGATCTCAAATTAGTTTTTCTTATGTGGTTGTCAAGATCGACCTCCTTTCTGACAGATGGTTAATGTTCCTGTTAGGTGTTTCCTACTCAAATTCCAGATCTTTCAACTGAAAGCCCATTGATTGTGTCCGGCAGATACCGTGGAACATTCCCAGAGACCCTCAAGGTCAATGGTGTCCTTGCAGATATGAGCAATTTTTCTGTAGACCTGAAGGTTGAAGTGGCAAAGGAGATGCCAATCAGCAAGGTGATAATTTCTATGGTCTTGAATGTGATTATAGATGTGAGTCTTTTCCCTCATAAGGAAAACAATATTTTCGCTTCCAGTATTCTGTTTGTCGTGTTGACACATGATGTGTTTTCTCAATACCTTGTTAATCATTATGTTATAACAGGAAATATGGAGATTTTCCTTGGAAATGTTAATAATTATACTCTCAAATGGAAGACCTTTTCGCAAAATCCATAATCTGCAATGTTGCGTGGATGCCTCATGATTTCTTCACCACTTGGAATTTAACATTTCGAAATATTCAAAATACTTGAATGCTGAAAATACTCCTGTCTACCAATTTTGTTTGTTAAACATGCATTTATTTTTCTTACTTCGATTTTGTGATTGATCTCGAATTCTGTTTGGGCCTAGAATGCTGTATGGAAGGGGATGGAGCCCTTGCAATGGTTCAATGCTGAGTTTCGTTTCCTGTGACTTCAATCTTATGACAATTTCTTTTGTTGTTTCTTGTGGTCACAGGTAGTAGCCAAGCAACAGATTGAACTTCTTACAGCTGAGGCCTGGTATTCTGAAAGCGAGGAACTGATTGAGAAGGTAATTCCGATATATTTGCTCTTAATTTTGTGATGTTTTGATTAATCTCCACAGCAGAAATCTTAGGTGTGTGCAGATGAATTCTTCAGAGATGTAGATTCTGTGATATCATGTTCGTGATATATGTTTTAATCCATCATTTTAAAATATCAGATTACTAGTAGTTGCACATTGTCATTTGGTGAAACGTAAGGTAATCCTGGATAAGTTTGCTGTGTTACATCGAAAACTTTCATCATTAAGCATATGAAAATTTTGTCGCGTTAGATTTTCTTTATAGATAGATTTGTTTAGTCACAAACTTGTTCTGGAATTGTTTCATGTTGATAGTTAGCAATGACATCACTCTTGTTACTGCTTAAATTGTGCAGACATTATTCTCGTAAAAGATTGGTTACCCTAATTCATATTGGAAATTCCGTTTTCCTCCATAGTTGACTGGTATTAGATGTTTGAAACAAAAATGTTATTCTCAGTCGATGATTTTTGTTTATTTTCCTGGCAGATTGCCAAAATAAGTGTCCAGCATGATATTGTTTCCGAATACATGAACATGGTTTTGCTCAAGACCCAGAGAGGAAACACAAGAGCCAATTCAACTGTTGCACAGGAGGTTCATGTTACCTTCAACCTTTCAACATGAGATCATCCACATTGTAAATTGATCATCATACGGGGTTGAATATAAAGTTTATGAGTCTAGTAACCTTCAATTCTGCTGCATTATACAAACTTGCTGTGCTAAGTATATTGTTGTGTATCAGCAGTTTGTACAACTTCATTCCAATAAATCCTGTTTGAGCACCAAGAAGATAGGAAACAGAACAGAAAAAGAAACAACACACGAGCACCAAAATTAAGCACCAACAGTACCTCAACCCCGTTTATACGATGAATGATAAATAACTATTTGTCTATGAGTTATTTTATATTACAACATTTGCATGCAAAATTGTACAAGCAGCAGTATATATAGCGTTACACTGTTCTATACTGAATCCTAATTTGTTCACAGGTTCCCCGCAATGTTAATGCTCACAAGAAGGAGGACTCCAAGCCGGAGAGAGTACTAATCCTTGGTGACATGGGGCTTGGTTTTGGCAACCTAACGGCCACGCATGAGAATGTGCCTCCTGGATCAGGTGACGTGAAGCACCCGGATGCTGCGGAGGCTTTCGCACGAGCGGCCTCAAACTGCTGTGGGAGTGTGTGTAACCACTGCTGCTGCATGTGCTGCATCCAGACATGTTCCCGGATAAACGACCAGTGTGCCATAGCCCTCACCCAATTGTGTGGGGCCCTGGCGTGCCTAGGATGTTTCGTGTGCTGTGGAGGACATGACGGGTGAGGTATTAAGCTTAAGTGATGTTTATAGGAAAAAAAAATGTTATATTTGTACTTGTATAATTATTTCTTTTTTTTTTTCTTTTCTTTTTTTT